AAGGTATCCACATTATGAAAGAGCTGTAGAACATGTCATAAGACAGAAAAAAGTATGTGTTATGCTTAGAGAACATTAAATAAGTGGTAGGGGGCTGTACCAAACAGCATGGCAGGCTTCCTTCCCCCATACCTTCAATCCATAGGAATTAGAAGCAGCAAAGCTTTTTTTTTTTTTTTAAACGGGACACTGCACGAACTTGCGTGTCATTCTGGTGCAGGGACCATGCTAACTTCTGTTGTTTCAGTTTTAGTGTATGTGCTGCCAAAGAGAGCACAGCAAAGGTTTTTTTAAACTGCCATGTCTTTTGAGGAAAGTATTTCTGGCCATGGTAGAAGGCTAGAGATTCAGTAGAAAGAATGAGTTTGACAAGGCTTTATGTGATGAAAGAATGACAGAATTTGACAAGGCTTTATGTGAAAGATGTAAGAACTAGAAAGTGACAGATTCTTAGTCTAGGACTCTACTGAAAGATATTTTGTTGACCTCTGCTATCATTGTACCTTGAAGCATGAAGTGGGGGGAGGGGAGAAACTACATGGTCTGCTTAATTGCTACCATTTAATATAATTTTCTCGTACAAAGAGAATAAAGTGGTCTGAGAAGAACACCATTTTATTTGGCTGCCTTGTTTCAAAAGGCTCTCATCAGGTGTTCTGACTCTTATAGAGGAGTTGGGGCTGATGGGGTGGTAGGAGGGAACCTGGATAACCTAAAACTTTCTGTATGAGAAAATGAAAATAGAGAAAGATTGTAACTACATTAGAGCTATTTCACTGGACACTTAAGAGTGGGAATTGGACTCCCCTACCCCCACCCTGTCAACCCAAATCCAGTTGAACTCAGCACAGGGAATTCTTTGAGTCTGGCAGGATTGAAAAGACCAAAGTTTGTCTTTATTGGCACTCTATCACTACACTAGCTCCCAGAAAAATAACTGATAGATTCTTAATAACTGGTAAGTGAATGAAAGAAATGGACTCTCTTAAAAACCCAAGAGAAGTTACGGGGACTTGTGAATTTGTAATTCCAGTGTTCTCTGGGAATTGTTAAAATATTTTTATGAGTACATCTTTATTTTAGTAGCTTGCCATAAGAAATCTGTATATGTTAATATTAAATAATATAGTAGTACATTTTTAGAATACTTCCAGCAAAATTTTTGTATCTTCCTCTATCCATTTAGTTTTTCAAATGTGCTTTAAAAAATATTGTATTAGAAATCTTTCTCGAGTTTGTTTTATTGAAAACACATCTGTTTTTGTTTTTGTTCAGTTTTAATCGCTTGGATCTACCACCATATAAGAGTTATGAACAACTAAAGGAAAAACTTCTTTTTGCAATAGAAGAGACCGAGGGATTTGGACAAGAATGAATGTGGCTTCTTGTCTTGGAGGAGCTCTTGCATTTAAATAACCCAGCCAAGAAAAATTGCACAGATAGTGTATATATAAGCTGTTCATTCTGTACAGTGAATTTTCTGAACCTCTCAAAGTATAAATGTTTTCCGTTCTTCCACAGAAATATGCAAAACAGTTCATCCTTTTCTACTTTATTTATTGTTCCCTTGAAGTGACTGACCAGGAAAAAGATCATCCTTAAATTTTGAAGCAAGCAAGAGACTTTATTAAAAATAAGTATATATCTATATAAGCATATAAGATAGTGGCTCTAGTTTTATAGAGCTCCAAGTATATTAAACATGACAGCCGTTCATTCAAAAAATAATCTGGATTTGCTTTACCTTGTTTCTAGTATCCAGAGGAAAAAGTACAAATTGCTTCATGATCTTCTCCCTTATATAACACCTTTTGAGGGTGTTTAGTTGCATGGCTGTTCAGGAAGGTATTAAGGGCTTAGGCCAACTCTTACTTTGAGTATGTTAAAAAATGCTGCTGGCTTTTCTGAAGACAGGCATTTGAACCTGTCAGCTCATTTTAAATAAATACAATAGTTGAAAAATTTCCCTCTTTGCTACATCACTAATACAGTCAAAGTAATGAATGAAACCATAATGTACATGTAAGTCATACACTATATCTGATGCCATTTAGTTTATTCTAGAGATTGGAAAGAATTCATTAAGCAGCAAAGAGGTTTGTTTACATGTTACTTTGGGATGCTAGGTATTTGTGGAGTTAAAAAGAATCAGGTACTTAAGTACTTTTGTTTTTAAATCTGTGATGTTCTTTAAATTTAACTCATAATAAATTGATGCAGTTTGATACTTAGGAACATATAATAAGGTAATGTGAACATTTCTGCTTTTGTGTTCAGAGTTTTGGTTTTATAAAACCAGATGGACTGAAGAGTTGTATAAGCATTTGAACACGCAAATGAAAACTATTTTCTATTAGTGTTCATATATCCTCATTCCTCTTAAATTCATGAAAATTTTATGATCTGAATTATATAGGCATATTAAAGACTCTTTTGGTCCCCACCCCCCTTTTTACATAGATCATTATTTTTGTCCTAATAACTTTTTAATTTTTCATTATCAAGGGCATTTGCTGAACTACAAAGATGTATAACATTAAAATCTGATGTGAATGATATTAATGCTATTTTAGCAAAACTGGGCTTCCTTATTAACAAAAATTGCAATTTCCATTTGTATCATTTCAATATGCAGTGTAAATTTCAGGAAGTTAAAAATTTTTTTATAACCACAAACTGACATCTTACAATGTTATCTGTAACATATTTAACTGCTAAGTACATATGGAAAATACTAGTATACAATTTAATTTCCCTAAACAGTTTTTGTTTTGCCAAAATTTTATTTTTCTACATACTAGATCGTGTTCTGCACTTCTATTCAAAGTTCATAGTAAAGACGAAATAAAGGCAGTGATCCACTATGTTGAATAGACTCCTTTCCCAAATCCTCATCTGACACTGGGCTATCTTGAAGCATAAAGCATTAAAAACAAATACTAATGTATATGACATCATGTGATAGAGGATGACCAGTCTTCAAAGCGGCTACTTAAATTTTACTGTAGAAAGCACCACTGCTCATGCATGACATGACAGAAGTTATTGATGAACATCATTCAGTGGAGGTGAGAATGTGAGCATACCATTTACCAGATTTAATTGAAGACAGGAGGCTTTCAGGGTGCTGGTCCACCCCACCCCCTCACTTCAGGTAAGAAATTACTATGTACCAGTTGAGGCTACACAACCCACAGAGACCAAACCAGCTTTCTGAAGAAGGCTCTTTTGGAGAACTCGGAGCGTTCCACCTTTCAAACTCAATAGAAAACCAAGCCTACTGGCAGGATTTTATTATATCTTAATTCATACACTCAAGGGGTGGTGAGAGAAAACCAAGGATGTGGGTTGCCTCTCACCTTCTCTCCTCTTTTCCCATCCTTGTCCTGTGCTGGGCTAGACAGGCTCACTATGCCTGAAATGAAGAAACAGGCAAAGAATGAGGCTCAGAGACAGATTCATATTGTTATTTCAGTGACACTCACTCACCACCACCACCAAACTGAGCCCAATGAATGGGTAAGGGGCACAACATAATTTCTCATTCCACCAATCAGATTAGTTGTCTGTCTTCCTAGGAAAGCAGCTCTAAGTGGCAGTTAAAGCTCAGAGTTAATAAACCTTTTAACCTCACAGCCTTCAGTTAATCACCTGCCTCCTGTTTTTTTAAAAACTAGATGGCATGGTTATGTGTCAAAATACTATTAGGCAGTACTATTTCTATTAAAAATGACCCTGACTGGTAAGTTCATCTGGACTGGGAAATCTCCTACTTGATAATAAACCATACTTTTGGATTTGCCAGAGGAAATCCATAACTGCGTGTCCCTTCTGAGGTCCCTGAGCTGTGACCTGTTCCTGGAGCTGTGTGAATGCTCTGTTACACAGACTGCTGCTATAAGCTCATCATCTAAAATGTTAAAGAGTCCTGACATTGACTTGCCAGTTCAGCTGTGGTTCCTATCTTAAGCCTTCCGAGTAAGACTAGTATGGACTTTGAGTAGTTGTTGAACCCTGGTGGATGATATTGCGGAAGTCAAAAATCCTCTCATTTAAATATGTAGATGAGAGAACAAAGGTGGTCTTGTAAATACTCCCAGTTTATTCTTAATCTTTTGAACTTTAAAGTCAAACTTAAGATAAATGGTCTCAAGGAAAAAGCCCAGACCATATCAGAGAAGCCTTCTACATTAAAGAGGCTTTTTACTGACTTGTTTACTCCTCAAAGGATAAAACAGTTGACTATTCTCAGGGCAGTGCAGTGGGTCAGAACAAGGCATTCATTAAAAGTTCATGGCCCTTGGCAAAGTTATCCACCCCTCCTTTTATTTCTTCTTCCTATTAAACTTAAGGTATAGTAATGCCCAGGTACACACAATCCAAAATAAGTGGTATGGTAAATACCACATGAAGTTTAAAAAAAAAAAAACTCTCAAATAACATAGAAGCAAAAATGTACAACTGGAAAAGTGGCATCTCCTTAATTCCAAATTTTCTCTCCCAAATCTCAACCAAGAAGAATACAATCAGATAACTGCATTTAAAAATACTTACTGATAACAGTTATGTACTTTATGTATTCTCTTTCATCCTCACAACTCCTAAGGTTTGGTGTGTTTTTGCTTTTTCTTCGTTGTAATGATGCTTATTTTATAGATAAGTGAGTAATTTTTACAAAATTCATAGTTCACAGTCTGTCATTAAATTCTCAATTGGGAAAATTTTGCTATTAATGGAGAGCTTTCAGATTTTTTATAAAGTAAATCCAAATTTATTCTCAGTCCTCAAAGGAAGTAAACATATCCACAAGGTGAGGTAATTATAATTACCTAAAGCCCATGTCTGTAATATGTTTACAAGACAGACGACTACAAACTTACGTTCACATTATGCATGTGGGGAAATAAGCATCTCCAGCTAGCAGTCACATCTGGAACACACACAGTTAAGTAGGGACTGCACAGGAGGGAGAATAATGGGGTCCGAGGATTTGTTCCCAGAAGTAATAGGTCTCAACTGTGAGTGAGGAAATGCCAAGAACCAGTGTAAGACCTGGTGAATCAGACCCCTGGGAAGTCAAAAGGAAGAGACAAAGAGCACACAATCAGACTCTTAGGAATGTATGGCATCTTGGTGAAGGGAGCTAGCTATCCCTTAGTTTATAAGGGGGGAAAAAGGGAAGATAATAGCTCTATAAATTAGGACCCAGCAATTGCACTCCTGGGTGTTAATATAACCTGTATCCAATGTTCATAGGAGTCAAAGACTGGAAACAACCTAAATGACCTTCAGTGAATGGTTAAATGGGTACATTTATACCATGAAATATAATCAACAGTATAACGGAATCAACTATATGCAGATGGATTTCAAAGAAATTGCATCAAATGAAAAAGGCCAGTTCTCAAAAGGTCACATAATCTGATTCCATTTATATAACAGTATTGAAATTGGTGGTTGCCAGGATTAGGGATGGTGGTAAGGAGGAAAAGTGGTGGATGGATGTGACCATAAAGGGCTAGCATAGCAGTAGGGATTTACACAATTTGGTGGAACAGTTCCATATCTTGATTGTAGCTGCAGTTTAAAAAAAAAAAAAAAAAACATACTGACAAAATTACATAGAACACATACACAAGTGAGGGCACTTAGAAGTAAAATCTGAGTAAGATTTATGGGCTATACCGATTAACCTGATTTTCAACTTGGAGGCAGAGGTTTACCTCTGGGACCGCTCTATTTCCTCCCCACTCCCAAACTTCCTATGAATCTATAATGATTACAAAGCAATACAATTTTTTAAAAGCATTATAAAATATCAGAAGACAGACCCCACCCATAAAAGGCTTTATTACTGAAAGATACCTCATTTCACAAAAACTCCTTCATAGAGGTTATTCTTGAACAAATCAAAATCCTTCACCTCCCATTTGATACCTGGTATTGCAGGTAACACAAAACACACACACATCACCAGAAAATACTGAAAGTCGCTCTAGTGAAAAGGAAGAAATTTCAGATGAAGATACTCAAAACAGAAGAAAACATTCTTTAACACAATATACTATGAATTAAATGTAAGTAACTATCAAAACTAAAAAATCAAATTAAAAATTAAACTCAGAACTGGACAAACTACATGAAAATGTGAAATGCCTGCTGATTGAAATCAGGGGAAATAATGGAAGAAAAAGACAAACATCTCAAGTGAAGACAAAAGGTATCTGAGGAAGAAAACAATAGAGACATGGAAGACAGAAATTCAAAGAGCCAAGGAAATGAAACGGAAAGAGGTAAAAAATCAGAGAAGTGATAAAAAATTAGGCAAAGAAGATCAAATTACATAAAATTAATCAGAGTCACTGAAAAGATGAAACAGTGGTTCCTAAAGTGGGGTACAGCAAATCTGGAATGAGAGAGAATCTAAGATGACTGGCCTTTTCAAAAAAAAGTCAATGAATGGTGGGATTTAAAAAAAAAAATGGGAAAATTCTTCTAGATTTTTAAAAACTAAGGCCGAAAATCAAATACAATGTATGGTTGATTGGATCCTGGTTTTTAAAATTGGTAAGACATTCCTGGGACATTTGAGAATATACAAATATGGCTGGTATCAGAAGATGGTTTTAAAGAATTACTGTTAACTTTTTGTTGTGCTAATGGGTTTTTGTTTGTTTAGAAGGATGTCATTCTGAGACAATGCATGCTTAAGTACTTAGGGATGAAGTATGTTGTCTACAATTTCAAAAGTTTAGAAATACACACACACACACAGTAAAATATAGCTGAAGATTAGCAATTGGAGATGGGTATATAGAGTCCAGAACTTTGATTTTCCTTTTTGTTCGAAAATATGCATGACAACACAAACAGCCCACACCCTCATGGTTCACTGTTAACTTTACAATTCCCAACTCCGGGAAAACTTACCTATGCATGCACTCTTGATTTATCTAAGTGATTCAAAGGATTCAAGATAGTCCTTTTTATAAAACAGTTCTGCAGCCTCAAGTAATTCAGTCCTGCCTATGTGAAACATCTTCATTTCTATTTCACCCTGAGTTCTGTGTTCCTTTCACCACATTAGGGAAGAGAATCTGGGCTTTGTCAAGTAACAAAATCAATCCTTCACTCGTAAGACCATGTCACATTAAAAAAAAACAAACAAACAAAAAAAACACCACACTCCATTTTCTGTCCTCTCCTGACTTAAGTTTTTTCCTTACACAGGTTGGTTCCAAGATCCATCATTTAACTACTTTATACCAAGAACCCTCAACATCCTAACCTCCTAATTTTCACTGCACCTTCTCTGCAAGATCTCAACTTTGCATCAGTCCAATTTGGCAGTGCACACCCCCCAATGAAGCCTCTTCCACAAAGCTTTTTCTTTTCTTGATCTCCCATTCTGATGTGATCCATCCTCCTCAGAAATTTTACACCACTTTGTATTGCTAGTGTCCTAAATGCGCAATATCTCTGCCTCTCAGCCAGGGAGAAGTCTCTACCAATTTTTTGGTAATTATTTCTTTTGCCTTGTTGTCTGTGAAGACACTTAGAATTTTGTACATTTAATTTGTTAAGTGGTCACATTAAAGGAACCGAGAAAACAGCCATAGAACAGTTACAGTTCACATATTATCTTTGTAATTTCATGAAAAGGCAATGTTTCTTAGATATTTCGTGGGCTTTCTTCTCTGAAAAATTCTCAATTCTTGTCACTGAAACCTGTAAGCAACTGAGCAGCTTCTGTCTGTATCTAAAATGGAAAAATATGTGTTATAAATAAACAGTACGGCATAGATACCAACTTGCAAAACCTAATAAGTTCATAAAGCGGGCTGTGGTTTCTAAGCGTTCCCACCAGGAGATAGCACATTATGAGAATAAAACTAAACAGGAACTGGGTGAGACTCTTGAGAGAATTCGTCCACATTAGTACACATCACGTGCCTTTTATTGTAGAAATCTTATTTGAGCTGTCACGTATGTCAAACAGGAATAAGGCAGCAAGTAATTTATAATCTCTATGACAGTAAACACTATATAGAAACTGACAGAAATGTTAATGAGTTCAAAATGAACAGTTTTCAACAAGATACATTTAGACAAATTATACTTTTAAAGAAGTTCTTAATTCACCTTTACTTAATAGTCCCTCAGCAGAAACCTATCTGCCTTTATTTATTTTAAAGACTTTATTTGACAGAGATCACAAAGGCAGAGAGGCAGGCAGAAGGAGAGAGGGGGAAGCAGGCCCAATGCGGGGCTCAATCCCAGGACTCTGAGATCATGACCTGAGCAGAAGGCAGAGGCTTTAACCCACTGAGCCACCCAGGTGCCCCTGCCTTAATTTACTGGAGATACTTTACCTGTTTATCCTCCTCTGTGTGTGCCGGATAGTCCTTGGCTTTCATTAGCCAGAAGGCAGCAAGCTTTTTATTGTGTAACTTCAAATATGTCTTTCCTAAAAGCAGCAAGTTTTTGCTGTAGAAATTTGGATCCACTATACATAAGAAAGAAAAATTTATCTTAGATGAATAGAGTTGTTAATTTCTTCAGTCTAAATTCCAATAATATATTTGTGTGTTCATATAAGATTAGGCTAACTAGAATTCTCTTTTGTTCAACTATTCCAATCTCAAATATTAGTAAAGTACCATTTATTCAATGTCTCTTAATGTGCTAGGCATTCTATTACATTTCTCATTTTTATACAATTTTATAAAGTAGGTACTCCATTTAATAGATGAGAAACTGAAGTATCTGACAGAATGTATCCTCTATAAACAGGGGTTTTCTTTTTATTAATGTCTTTTATCACCTGCTATATCCTAATTACCTAGGACATAACATGGACCCAATACATACTTGCTGTATGAGCAAATGAAATCATGATATATATGCAGTTGACCCTTGAACAATGCAGTTTTGAATTATGCATGTCCAAATATATGCAGGGTTTTTCCCCTGTATTTCCCCATAAATACAGTAAAGTGCTGCAACTGTATTTTCTCTTACTTTTAACATTTAATTTTCTCTAGCTTACTATACTAGAATACAGTCTATAATACATGGAACACACAAAATACATTTTAAACAACTGTTTAAAGTTCTGGTCAGTGGTAGAATATTTAAGGAGTTAGCTTTGAGGGGAGCCAAAAGTTAGTTACATGCAGATTTTCAACTATGCAGGCGGCCATTTACCCCTTACCCAGTGTTTAAGGGTCAGGTGTACATACATACATTTGATTAATATTTACTAAATGTGGGTTATACTTAAATACAGATTTAACAAAGACTCTGTTCTTTTGAAATCCATCATGAAGAGGAGAGACAAAAGATTAAAATGTAACAGAAAAATGAAAGGGATGCTTTGACAGATGTACACATTTTAAAGTGCTATGAGAAACCAACGAGAAACTAAGAAGTTACATCTGGGCTGCCTTGGCAGCTGAACAGGATTTTAACAGAAAAAGAACATTCTTGGCCCAGGGAAAACTGAACAAAAAGCCTATGAAAGCATGGGACAGTCTCACTAACTTCATTAATTCTTTATACAGATTCCTCTTATCAACTGGGACCTTCTATATTTAATGCATACTTTTCCCTGGATATAATTTATGGTTAACTCCATTTGCTCCTTAACCCAAAATTGTTTTACTTCTTTAATCTGAACGTATTTATGAGGTGGTGTGTAGATGTACTTAAGGTTTCCTTAGGGTTCATCCATTCATCTGTTTAATACTGTCATTCAGCAAATTTAATAGCATTATGCTAAGCACTGAGGAAAACTGAGCAAAACAACAAAGTCCGCATTATCCCCATATTTAGTCTTCGACATGTAAACAATATTCACAACTCACATACTCATACTACGGTGTGATAAGGGCTATGATGGGAGAAGTAACAGGTACTTAAGAGCCTAGGAGGAGCTTCTGAACCAGATTTGGTCCATAAAAAAAGACCACCTGGAAGAACTGACCTACAGTGTTAAAACCTCAAGGATGACTGGAGTTACTGACCATGTTTTTCTTAACACCCCAAACCCTTACTTCACTAAGGCTCTATTTCTACTTTGCAGTTATGCTTCTAAATCCCTTTGAGGACATTTTATTCCCAGATTCATATTCATGATATAAAAACTATGATCATAAGAGGTTATCAGCAAAAGGCAGTAACAGAACAAACAAGAATATATTACTAACATGATTTAACATTCAGACACCACTCTTCAGAAGAAATTAAAAAAATAAATGCTTTGCTATCCTAAAAGCATCTGAACAAGTCCATATGAGTAGGCTCTCTAATACACAGGCTTTAATTTTCTTCTAATTTTACAGAAATAGAATTGCAGTGGTTTTTTTGGTGTATTTGATAACATATGCTTATGTCCTTTACTCTTCTAGTTTGTGCTACTAATATTAAAAAGGATGAACTTAGGATGGCTGATGTCAGTTTTGTACACTGGCCATTTCTTCAAAGCCAGAGTGACATGAAACTCTTCATAAAAGACAATATTTGCAACGAAGCAAAAACTGGCTTGTTTTAAAACCAAGATTTCTCATCTAAATGCTCTTTAAAGAGAAAGGGTAAATCTTAGAAAAAAAACTTTTTGTAATGTGACAGCTATTAACTAGACTTGATTTTATAATCACTTTACAACATGTGCAATTATTGAATCCTTACGCTGTACACCTGAAACTAATGTTAATTGTCAATTATACCTCAAAAAAATTTTAACTAAACATTTAAATAAATTAATGATTCTAAACAGCTGTATAATCTTGAATAACACAGTTAACTTGTCAAAGCCTCCTCTCAGAAAGCTGAATCATATCAAATAAAGGATCATTCCAGAACTGTAGTTCTAAACTCAGTAGCAGTCTACTTCTTACTCTGTGATCTTTATAAAATAGACTAAAAATTGTTTGATAATGTTTAGTGCAAAGAGAAGTATATTAGAATAAGTAACATTTTTGTTTTAAAAATGCCTATTATAAAGCACTCATACAATTTTAACTATATTAGTATATGAAATAGAAAAATGTTACCTTGCTCTGCCCTGTGAAAGTAGCCTAATGCCTGTTAAAAACATGAAGAGTCCAAACATAATGAAAACAGAATCAATATTTTAAAAAATATTTCTTCAAAAGTCAGGAAGTAAATTAAAACATATTAAAATAAAGGTCAACTTATCAACAGTGAAAGTTAACACAGCAAAATTGAACGTTTTTAAATCATCAGAGCACAGATTACAGGAGATGGACAACTTCTAGTAATAACTTGTTTGCTGTTTAGAACTTGAACCAAACCAGCATCAAGTGCAGAGAAGAAAGAACATTACCATATGCAACTCAGCTACTTTGATCCTTCTTAAGTCTTAACAGTCACTACCCGTAAAAACTTAGTAAAATCAAAAGCTAAATTTACTCAGTGATACATAGGTTGTACCAATAAACTTTTAAAAGTCCTTTATTATTGAAATTCAAACATAAAATGTTATTGAGTCTGAAACTTTTTTGTCCCACTTAAGCTGTTTTATAAAGTATGATTTCCTAGAAACATAACTGATTTGTTATAGTAGAGCCAACTGTATCGTTTTTCCTTAGAATACATTATTTTTAATAATACATATTCCCAACTGTGTTCTGAATATTCAGTTAATATTTTTATTTTTTAATTTATTTATTAAAGATTTTATTTATTTATTTGACAGACATCACAGTAGGCTGAGAGGCAGGTAGAGAGAGAGAAGAGGAAGAAGGATCTCCGCTGAGCAAAGAGCCCGATGCGGGACTCCATCCCAGGACCCTGGGACCATGACCCGAGCCGAAGGCAGAGGCTTTAACCCACTGAGCCACCCAGGCGCCCATCAGCTAAATATTTTAATATCAAATTCTACACCATAGGCTGCCAGAAGAAAAAATAGCTCCTTGTCACGTCATACTAGGAAAGCTTTTTCAGTGGCCTTATTTCCTTACTCTGAACATTTTAGTGGTGTAAGTTAGTGTTTGCCCAGAAATCCCTTTCAAATTTTATTTTCAACAAGAAAAGCAAAAGGCCTTAAAAATATGAGCGTATAAGCCTTGCAACCCTGCTTTCTAAAAAAGTTATAAATTACTCTTCCTTTATCTATACAAATACACGATTTCCCAGGTAAATTACTGTTAATGTGTAGAACACATATCTAAAACTCATGCTGAGTAACAGCTGCTGAATTTATTCTATTTTATGACTTTTATATGGTGTGGATTTCAAATAGAAAACAATGGTAGATTTTTGGCACGAGCTATTACAGCTGACATTATACCAGAATCATCAGCCACTCACCTAAATAAAAAAAACACTCACCAGTCATGGATTATAAGTATTAAGCCTCTGTGATAAGATTGCTGCACTGTAGGTTAGAAACATGCTCAAAGGCCTCACGGCTCAGAGCTGTAGATCTGAACACTGTAGAATGGCACTGCAGTTAAGAAATCAGTACTAACTTAACAAAGGACAGCACTCTACCTCCTCATAGGTGGAACTAGGAGGAGTTGCAAACAGCACTTTAGCAATTCTTCTCTGATACCAAGGCATTTCAGCAAATGTGTAACACCTATAGAGAAAAAATAGACATCTCGGTTGCATCTTTTTTCCTCTTACAGAAAAACTAAGCATCTTAACAGATATAAAAGATAGTTTCTTCTGTTGGTATGTTTAAACAATTTGCCCTTTACATAACATCCAGTAGGTTAATATTCCCAATGAATTACCCAGAGACTGATTTATATTGATCCATCAATTAGGATGTGTTCTGTGATTAAGTAAGCAACAGTACTAGTAATGAAAACACAGTATTTGTCATTCATCACTAAGTGCTCACTCTGTTCCAGGTGCTCGGTGATTATCTCTCATTTACTCCTTACAAGGAACTAAATAAGTTAGGATCATCACCCCTATTTTTTTAGGTAAGAAAAACTAACTCAGAGTAGTTAAAAAAAAAAAACACCAACAAAACTAAACATGGTATGTATAAATAACAATGGCAAAAAACAATTTAAGTCTGCCTACTGAAAAGAGTAAGGCAAATGATTAACATCCAAAGATCTTGACAACTTTCTTGATACAGGTAGGGAAAAAAGTACTGCATCTTTGACTAAGGGTCTGAATTCCTCAGGGAGTAACTCTATCTCATTCATGGTTCCTCCCTAGCACTGTCTAGCCATTTTCACTAGTTAGTTTAATATTGTCCTTTGCCCTGAAGGATATTTAACTCCTTTTTAAGAATCCTTTTAAGAATCAGATACAGGGGGCCCCTGGGTGGCTCAGTGGGTTAAGCCTCTGCCTTTGGCTCAGGTCATGATCTCAGGGTCCTGGGATCAAGCCCGGCACCTGGCTCTCTGCTCAGCAGGGAACCTGCTTCCTCCTCTATCTCTCTGCCTGCCTCTCTGCCTACTTATGATCCTTCTCTTTCTGTCAAATAAATAAATAAAATCTTAAAAAAAAAAAAAAAAGAATCAGATACAGGAGGGCGCCTGGATGGCTCAGTGGGTTAAGCCTCTGCCTTCGGCTCAGGTCATGATCCCAGGGTCCTGGGATCCAGCCCCGAATCTGCTCAGCGGGGAGCCTGCTTCCTCCTCTCTCTCTCTGCCTGCCTCTCTGCCTACTTGTGATCTGTCTGTCAAATAAATAAAATCTTAAAAAAAAAAAATCAGATACAGGGCTGTCTACACCATTTATTTATAAGACAATAAAATACTCAGGTCTGCGAACTACACCCACCCAAAGAAAACAGCGGCAAACCTGTCTCAAGTTTGCTGCTCATACCAGCAAAATAATGCTATACACTAGACAAATGGAAAGATACTGAAAGTCAGATTATTTTACTCCTCAGATGAATCAGACTGTATTTGACAGACCCTGAAGATGCAAAGACCCTCTTAGGGCATCGAACTGTATTGCCATATAGTTAGATTAATCCAGTTTCATTTAGCCTTGTAAGTAAAAACAGTCTTTCCTAACAAAAGGAATTTCAGTCTAGCAAAAATTTTAATGCCTTTTTCATTTTAACATATATTTCTGAATGAGTTACAATGGTTAACATGATCACAATCAAACTTAGTGATACATCACAACTACTAGTTAATATAATGAACTGAACACTCATGAATGCCAAATACTTTTAAATACTTTACATCTTGGTATTATATACTACAAAATAAGATCATAGTAACTACCACTGAAATATTTATTTAAAGAAATGTTCTTACCAAATACCCATAAGGTGAATTGAGGTAGCATCTTTTGGGTTCAGTTCAATTGCTTTCTAACAAGAAATGAGAAAGTCAATCATATTTGTTTTCTAAACACAAATGAGTACTATGTTTGCTGAAAAAGTCATGATAAAAAAATTTTTTTTGGCAACCCTACATTTCAATTCTTCTATGATAATACCAATTCTTTCCCCTCTTCATTCTTCAATGTGATTAAATTCATTTCAATACACTGTTAATGACTTGTATTAGAGTTAACTCTTACAAAGTTCAGCAACTAACAGGATTTATCAGTATGAGAAAAAACATAAAATTTTTAAATGAATCTGATTTTGAAAATTAATCTATAGTTCTCAATGTTCTAGATTAGAGGAAAAATAAGGAGGTTCTTTTTTGCAAGTTCTACATGAATACTGACTAAATGGTATTCTTTCCTTAAAGGAGAACAAAGTACTTAATACTTTTACAAAGTTTCTTCCTTTATGTATGTTTTGTTCAACTCCATCTATACTCAACAAAGGAAAAATAAATACTACTTACTTACAGAATTTATTAGTAAAATAATTATGTACAATGTAATACATTGATAGTCTTCCTAATTTCAATTTACTATATGAAAGTCCTATGTGAATTAATGTGAAGCATAAACTACGGAACAACTTTAAAACAACTATTTCTCCTTTTACCCATTATTTTGTTGAAAGTCTGAGAAACATCTCAGATTAATGTTAATCCTATTAAAAATAAGAGATCCTTCTAAAAAAAAACCTGAGACCTCCTATCTTGTAAAGTTTTTCTGTAAACCCACATTTTCATTTCAGTCAGTAATGTGTGAGATACACATTTTGAAGTATTTGTATTGGTTACCAGTAGGGTCTCTGAAGCCAGAGTACCAGGGTTCAGATCACAGCTCCAAGTTTTCACCTTGGCAAGTTCTCTCTTCTTGTCATGCCTGAGTTTGCTGCTTTATAGAATTGATAGAGTAATATACCTACATTATAGAGTTGTGCTAAATATTAAATGAGCAAGTAACAGGAGGTACTTAACACACTAATATTTTCTATAACCAGCATAATTTTACTTTTCAAAAGTACAACTTAATTTATTACTGATGCTGATGAATGGTAGCAGTAGTAGAAGTAATAGCTAGAATAAGGCTAATAACCAGGTCTGACTTAGCAGAAATCTTGCTTCATTAATATGAATAAAGAATCAGCATTGACTTTATTTTACTTTTCCATTAAACAGTGATATGAGTCATAGCAAACTATGTCTTAAAATATACACAACTTATACACTAAGAAACCTTTCCTAATTAGAATTCCACTAGAAAATTAAACCCTACAAAAAATTGTATGAATAACTGTTTTCTCCAATCTACCAAGAATGGTATAGAGCTAGTCCCATTCTAGATGCAAGGGAGAGAAGTTAATTCAGAACATGCAGTGGATGCCTTGGGGAATTTAATTTTCTTATGGGATGGGTTGAGAGAGACTACTCTCAAGCAAACACTTTCTTTTTTAATTCTTGCCATTAGTTTGTTTTCAAAACAATCCAAAGATAGGGGCACCTAGCTGGCTCAGTCAGAGGACCATGCTTGAGCCCCATGTTGGATGTAGAGATTACTTAAAATCTTAAAAAAACAACAAAAATAACCCAAAGATAGTAATTCCTTATGGTTTTAAATATAATAATGGAATTAGGAATAATAGTATAAATGATCTTTTTAGTATGTAAATACTAAATACTATCATTTTTAAAATATATTTAATACATACACATTTGAGATCTGCAAAACATCCATTTTTTTTTTTTTAAAGATTTTATTATTTATTGACAGAGAGAGAAGCAGACTCCCCACTGAGCAGAGAGCCCAATGTGGAGTTCAATCCCGGGACCCTGGCTCATGAACTGAGCTGAAGGCAGATGCTTAACCAACTGAGCCACCCAGGTGCCCCAAAATACTGGTTTTTAAAAAATAATCTATAGTCTCTGTTTCCACTAATATATTTTTTGCAATTTTTTCATGATTTATATTGGAAGATATTTGTCATATATTCTACACACTATGGCACAATAACTCAGGTGATTTACTTAATGCCACTGAGCAAATTATGACATTTCACAGAATCTAAGATACCATGAAAATTACTACATATCATTTTTTATCACTAAAAAGAAAAAAGCACTGCCTATTAAAAGATACCACTGATTATATAATGCAATGTGATTTCAAAGATCTTACAATGTGAAAAAGTTGCATATTATAAAACTGAAAAATATGTATGTTTATGCATACACACACGTACACATGTGTCTGTGTATATATACTACTGATGCCAGAATAAAAGCTCGATCTCCTGCCTCCCAGTCCAATGTTCTTTTCTATTACCCACTGTGTAAAACAGGAATTGAGACTATTACCATAAAATTCAGAAAAGCTATTAGCTTATCTAGCATTCTTCCTATTAATGTTTCCATCATATTCTCTTCCTTTGTATTTTTTTTAATTTACAGAAAATTTATTTTTATAATTTCAAAACCGTCTACTTAATTCTTTTGGCTCTGAACATTATAATTTAAGGGGAAAATTGACTATTATGGCTGTACTTTGTTGTTATACACATTTATGATAATTTCAGCTTTTAATCTTTTTTTAAACTTTCTTTACAGCGTAACAGTATTCATTGTTTTTTGCACCACACCCAGTGCTCCATGCAGTATGTGCCCTCCCTAATACCCACCACCTGGTTCCCCCAACCTCCCACCCCCCGCCCCTTCAAAACCCTCAGGTTGTTTTTCAGAGTCCATAGTCTCTCATGGCTCATCTCCCCCTCCAATTTCCCTCAACTCCCGTCTCCTCTCCATCTCCCCATGTCCTCCATGTCATTTGTTATGCTCCACAAATAAGTGAAACCATATGATAATTGACTCTCTCGGCTTGACTTATTTCACTCAGCA